TTTTGTGTCTCATACGCATATATATATAGTAACATATTTTGCCCACACACAATCACAAACATACATATATAATATATATATATATATATATATATATATATATATATATATATATATATATATATATATATATATATATATACCTGAATACGTTTTTGATTACTATAAGCTCATAGTTATACAAGCTTTATGTGTTTGTAGACTTATATATATACGCGAGAAAGGGAAAGGTCCTTTATACAAAATATATCGTTATTAATCGAATTCTGGGTGACTCACCTACAGGTAAATTGCTTTCCTTGTTGAATTTTCTCGACGTCCGCCAACGTCGGCCTCTTAGCATGGGAATGGAATCGATAAACTCAATATGCTGTAAATGTCGTAACTGGTTTCAAAAGGCGACCACCAACGAAGGCATGTGAAATGGAAAGGTCCCGGTTGTTGGCGGGCAACATGATTTGATAAAGCACTCTAATGAAATATTATACTTCAGAAGAAGAAGAAGAAGAAGAAGAAGATGAATAATAATAATAATAATAATAATAATAATAATAATAATAATAATAATGTCATTTTTTCTCCAAAAGCTGAAAAGTTTTCTGGACTCATGCTTCCTAACTTTTCCTATTGTCCAGAAAAAAAGAAAAAGAAATAAAATACTTCTTCATTATTTTCTTTTAAATTATTACGCACCAGGCAAGACAATAAAGCCACTATGACGCATATTTTTTTAAAATACTGTTCAACATGTACACTGTCCAAGAGTCACTCAAGTTAGAGGGTTACGGTGTAACCGCCATAGTTTTTGCGGATGTGTTAGAAAGCTAACGTTAAACCGAACAGGTTTATATTGTCGTGATCGGGGAATTCAACTTCTTGGAAGTTGGTTGCACAATTAGTGGGAAGAAGCTACTCGAGTGGAAGTTAGGTCTCTCCAATGGAATATGAAGGAAATGAGGATAGTTCGCGAAAATGTGCGTGGAATGGTAAGTCTTTTGTACTTTAGAATAACACATGACATCCGTCCTGTGGCATTTCCTCCAGTCAAATAAAGTTTAGGCCATCTCATTCTAGTCAGTATATTCTGTTAGCACATTTGAGCATGAAGAATTTTTTTTTTGTGTGTTATTATTATTCTGTTAAAATCATGGTAGATACTCATCTCCACGAGAACTCCTCACTACGCCTTCTTGATTTCATGTTCTCCACTGACTTGAGGTGGAACAGCTACATTGAATCATTTGCTGTATCTACTGCAAGGAAAGTTGGTTCTCTGTGTCGCGTCAGATGGTTTTTCTCGTGTGACTTGAGTTAAGGACAAGCATATCGGAAGGAGATTCTTCTTAACGCCATTCCTTTAGTTAATACAAAGGTGTACTGAACAATTTCCGGTCTAATCTCTACCGCGCCAATAAAAAAAAAAGATTTTTGGTGATTTGATAAGATTTTGGAAAATGGGTAAGGACGATAATATTATCAGCGCCTCTTTGTCTCAAAAGCCCGGCAAAATTATTAGATTAAATATAGTATATTCAAGAAGAAGAAGATGCAGAAGAGGAGAAGAAGGAAGACGAGGAGAAGAACAACAAGCGGGAGAAGAAGAAGTAAAAAGACGAGTGTAGAAGAAGAAAGGAGAGAGTAGTAGTAGTAGTAGTAGTAGTAGTAGTAGAAGAAGAAGAAGAAGAAGAAGAAGAACACGAAAATGATGAAAAAGAAGAAAAAGTTTGCTGAAGAAACAGAAGCTGCAGAAAAGAAATAAGAGACAACAGCAGCAGCAGCAGCAGCAGCAACAGCAGCAGCAAGCAGCAGTAGTAGTAGTAGTAGTAGTAGTAGTAGAAGAAGAAGAAGAAGAAGAAGAAGAAGAAAAGACAGAAGAATAGGGATGATGAAGAAGAAAACGAAAGAAAAAACAGAAAAAGGAGACGCAAGAAAAATGAAGAAAGAAAAAAAGAAGAAAGAAGAAAAAGAAGTTTCTTTTTTTCTTTTCAATCTCAAGACAAGCTGAATTGATTAGATTTTTTCTCTCATAGATTTACTTCTGCATAGAATAGCAAAGCTCTATTCATTAAAAATCTCTTAATGTCGAGCTGGGAAGATGATAAACAATGTAGCATGTCTTGAAATCCACTCCTTGATGCACATTAGAAGTACAGATGATGCTTTGATTGATTGGTTTCTTTACGGCTTATCAACCATTTACAGGTTATTTAAAGCCAGAAAATATTTTTTACATTATAAGAATTATTTGAAGTTAATGATAATTTACTGATAAATCTCCTGCTAATTAACCTATAGCTGGGGGAATAGGTGAATTCATACCTTTCCCAAAAGTATTTGCCTGTGAGTGAATATAACGGACCCGAAAGGAATTGGAACTCGGCTCTCCGAGCTGTTATCCATTACTCCTCCCGCACACCCAAGCTTACAGCACCTAACGGCAAACCCATCTACGTACTGACAATTGTTTAAATTTGGGGATCGTATGGGAACTTGTGTTGGTAAAATAGATTGATTTATACTATCGAGGGGAAACGCAATTTTGAATAAATGTACCCATTAAGGCACTTCTTTTCCATTTTCAAATTCGAGAGGACATTTTCCAACCGTCATTGAATCTCAAACTCAAAAAAGAATGGCTTTTTTTTTCAACATATTCTTCTTCTTTCCAACTAATTAAGTTCAACATCATAGATCAAATATCAAACAGTGCAATATTTCAGATTAATATTTACCTATGAATCAATTCATCCTTTACTGTCACGTTATGTCTACTACAACTACTACAACTACTACTACTAATAATAATAATAGTAATAATTATATAGTAATAATAACAATTGAGTAATTTCAAATTAGATTAGGTCACGCAATGATATACACTCCCCCCCCCAAGAAATAAGTTAACATTTTTTATATAATATCTTTTAAGTTATATATGATATCTGTGAATAAATTCACTTGAACTGTCTGACACCTGATGCGCGGAAAACTCATGTCGTGTAATAATATTTTGCATTTTTTATTTTTATTTGTTTAATCAGTTTCTCTCTCCTTTTATATATATATATGTATATATATATATATATGTGTGTGTGTATGTGTGTGTGTGTGTGTGTGTGTGTGTGTGTCATGTATATATATATATATATATATATATATATATATATATATATATATATATATAAATAGGAATTATTTTCATATTTGGTAATTGAAATAAAATTTGCATGGGTTTTTCAAACCAGTCAATGGATGATGAAATATTGTTTTAGCCCAGTATTTAATTATCCATTGACTTGAAATAAAATTTACAAGGTGAAAATGATCTTAATGTAATCTTAATTCCTATTGTATAAAAATATGTTGCTCTGTTTGATGAAAACATTGAGCTCACTGTGTGAATCATTTTTAATATTTAATATTTTATATTGTATTAATAGGATTTACTTGGATTATATACCAAGAGATTATTACACACACACACACACACACACACACACATATATATATATATATATATATATATATATATATATATATATACATTTTTAAATTTTATATATTATTATATATATATATATATATATATATATATATATATATATATATATATATATATATATATATATATATATATATATATATATATATATATATATATATATATATATATATATATATATATATATATATATATATATATATATATATATTATATTATAGTGTAGATAAAAATTTACTTGTGACGCATTTCGTCCTTCAGGAATTTATCGGACTAAATTTGGTATATTGCTACGACTAATCATGCACACAAACAAGGGATGCTGGGAATTTTAGAATTAATTTTTTTTTTAAATATATCTATATGAATTCATTTACAGTCATTTTCTTTCATCACTTTTGTTAGTAAGTATCTCACACTATAGTATTAGAAGCTCTGCTAGGAATGGTGAAATGATAAAAAGCCCAGATTTTAAAAATTTACTGCAGGTGAAATTTTTGATCAGGGCACTCTCTAGACATTTACGTCGTCGTGAATTATTTCCTGCTTCGAACAGAGATGCATTTTTTATGTCAAAAATAAATGGCCTAATATATATATATATATATATATATATATATATATATATATATATATATTTTTTTTATTTTGTCGACTGTACAGTATAGTCTGTGTAAAAAGCACCATGACGTAATTCCCGAAATCCTCAATACAAACATTTCAGAGTGTTTGTGTGTCAATCTGAGGACAGTCCAGAGGATTCGGAAAGTTTGGGATGAGTCTAATGGTGATTATGAAGGTATTTGGAGTGATCACGAGTGATGGTGACTTTATGGCTCCAGACTCAACACAGAAGCTTACATCCAGTGCCATGAGGAGATAGTGCTGGCCTGGATCAAAAGGTTAGCTACCGGAAGACCCTATGTCTGGCAACAGGACTCTTCACCATGCCACACAAGCAGGAGGATTCAATCATGGCTGTCAGACAAATTCTGCTACAACATAAAAAAAATTAAATCTGCCCATTTAACTACCATTGAGGATAATGTGTGGGGCACAGTTGAGCGAGAGACCAACAAAACTCTTTAGAACACCAAAGATGAACTGGAGGCAAGGATTATAGCAGCATTCACTTACTTAAATAAGGAAACCGCTCAGAAGAATTGTAGGAGATTCCGAAGTCTTATGATGGCAATTTTATTGAAAAACTTTACTCTTCAATATTTCAAGAAATTTTTTGTGTAATATTGGTAAATATATCTATTAAAATAAGATGTCAGTGTTAATTTCATTTTTGCGTAATTTAGAAGACAATTCATCCATCACACGCTGTATATTGTATTGAGATGAATACCCGTGTTTTTGTTCAGTCAAATATAATAGGATATTTGCTTTTAGGGTAGTTATTCCGGAGCAACCTAAGTGCAGCATCTGAAAAATATATTCTTAACAGGAGGTTATTTCTCCTTTCCGAACACCTACAATCCAACAAAGGAACCTTATAGATTTATAGCAACTAGACGCGCCGTCAAAATTACCACCTCTTCTTTGTTGACGCCCTGACGTCTGTTTTGTCTGCGAGATGTTTTTGACAACTTCCTTGTTAGCAAGCAGCCAGACATTTTTCCCGGAGCCACTAATGTTCTTCACAATAAAAGCGAGAGAAAGAGAGAGAGAGAGAGAGAGAGAGAGAGAGAGAGAGAGATCTTTTACAATTAATTATTCTCTCTTGATTTCCACGATATTGTCCTTATTTAGTCGCCACTGTCTGTCTGTTTACGCCGTTTTTATAGCTTCCTCTATACCAGCGGTTCTCAACCTTTCATTGTTATCCACTTTTTATTCTTATTTGATTGGACTCCCCACTCCCCACCCCCCGTAACCATTCGATGTAAAGAAAAGTTTATTTTATTTTTTACTAATAAATAAATTTAAGAAATGTATTATAGAAATAGTAAATGCCTATTTTTATTTAAGCGTTTTTATTTAAGCGTTTCACCCCATGCAAGGCGGGAAGCCACTAGGACGCAAGGGGTTACATAAGATTTGGAGCAAGATCAGGTAGAAGTGATAGAGGAAAGGATGAGGGGAAGGATAGTGGATAGATCAAGGCAACTGGAGATGTCGATTGACATTACATTTGAATAGTTGGAGATTATAGCTCTCAGGGAAACTGGAAGAGTGAAGGGGGTTCCACAGGCGAGACGTGCGAGATATGAAGCTATTGGCGTAGAAGAGACAGCTACATTTAACAGTTTCAACAGTGAAAGGGTGAGAGCAGGATGCCAGCTTCGTAGGGCGCTGGAATTCATGAAGTCTGGGAACCAGCGAATGCAGCTCCTCGGAGCAGTTGCCATGAAAGTATTTGTTAAAAAGACAGAGAGAGGCGACGGCGCGTTGGTGAGAGAGCGACTGTAGACCAGATGCCAGATCAGGGTCAATTACTTTGCATATCCGTCTCTGGATCTTATCAAGAACCCTGAAGCAAACAGAAGGGGCACCAGACCATATATGGCAGCTCTATTTTGAAGTAAAACTAATTTAATGAGGATAAACATATACTATTATTTATGACTACAAATATATACACTCATAAAATAACTCATAACATAGACCATTTTAAAATATGTGTGTAATTAATAAATTAAATAAAGTGCAGATTTATTCAACGAGATCCTGTTGTATAGCGCAGTCCGGCTCTCATGCTGTGAGGTCTTTGTCACTGCGCCAATTGTGTCTATTTCTATAGCATCTGAAGTTAGGGGGTCAGGCGACGGCGTCGATTCTTTTCACATGTTCTCTTTTCTCTCTCGCCTTCTCTCGGCAAAATGTTTTGGGGTCCAGAGACAAAAGACATCAACAATTTCATACTTAACTTAAATCTTATTAATTTTTTTTTTCTCTCATTTTTATTTCAAAATATACTGGATCCAAATACGACAGAGAACACCTCTACATTGTTCGATGGTTAAAGTTTAAACTCCCTGAAAAACAGATTTTCTATCCATCATTTGTTTTTAGTTCAGCCAATTTTTCATCTCTTTTCTTTTTTGTCTTTGTATCTTGGGAAAGGTCATCCTCAAGAAGTCAGAAAGAGATATATTTCCCTAATGAAAAATTTTCTTCTAAACATAATCTTTCTAACAATCCAAATGTGTTATATAATATTTTCTTTATATTCGGCTCCGTCGATGTGTTGATTTTCGAAGAGCAACTTTTTCACAATTTTTCGAGTCTGTTATTATTGTTTTAAGTTATATTAACATATTAATATTTTAAAAATTTAAAATTAATATTAAACTATTATTTTATATATATATATATATATATATATATATATATATATATATATATATATATATATATATATATATCTTTATAAGATATATAATGGATATTTCTTATAGATCATATTTTATTTTACAAAATAGCGCTCAATGTAAATTTTTTAGCATTAATATTATAAATTAATTGATTTAAAAATATTTTTATTAAATTTTTATTAACAGTTCTGTTTGTTTCAAAAATAAAAAGTCAAATTAACAAATTTATTTTTGCACATTTCAATAATAAAATTAAAATGAACATTTTATCATTTCCAGCTTTGAAACATCGTTAGAATCTTTGTAGCGAAATAGAAACATATTTTAAATCATCTTTAATTTTATAAAATATATATATATATATATATATATAATTTATGGAAAAGTTTTTTTACAATTTTCCTATATATATATATATATATATATATATATATATATATATATATATAGTTGTATATTTAGGCAGCAATCCTTCCATTATGCATGTTTCATTAAAACGACAGACAAGGTACTACGGTTAATCTTTTTTATTTAATTTTTCTTGTGTTCGAACAAGAGTTTTTCTTTTCTGGTTCAAAGGTGTGTAAGAACTGTCCAAATGTTTTATATTTCAGGGAGCGCTTTCGGTTATACCTTTTTAGCCATTATCAAGGATGATTCAATTTTTCACTTTAATTGAGTGTGTGCGTTCTGTGTATGTCTTAGTGTGTGGTAGGGATGTTTTTAATTTCCGAATACGGTTAGTAACATTGTGGCTTTGTTCGTAGTTAATATTGTTAAGAGTTGGCTTTTTCTTTTTTATTATTAAAGCTTCCATTATTTTTAGTTTTTTTTTGCAGGTGGATGCAGTTAATATATTTGTGTTTTCTACTAGTATGTTTCTAATGGAGTTCATGTAAAGACCCCATTGTGTTTAAATGGGTTCTAATAGATATATATAATCCTTGTTTTATATATTTTCTTCTCAGTTTTTATTCAATTTTTACAATAAAAATATTTGTTTACAACAAAAGGGAATTCTATTTATATCGTTTTTGTCTCGTTAACAATTTTAATATTGTCAGTATTGTAATATGGCGTAGATCGTTGTAGAAATTCAAATGCTAACTTGTAACAACCGTTCCGAAGTGAAATTGCTCTCTGGATCACTAAAATATTACCGTGGACCACCATTTTGATTTTTTTTTTGTTTGGACCCCAAGTAATCTTACATGGATCCCGGTTGAGAATCAGTGCTCTACACCATGCCAATAAGTAAGGAACATATATAAATTCTTGAAACGTTCTATCCACCGACTGACCGATGCTGAAACTGACATCTGGTTCAACAAAGAATATGGCAGAGACCAATGTCCCATTTCTTTGATAAGAGTGGGATTTCTAGTGAGGAATTGTCTGCTTTCAGTTTTTTTTTTTTGTTTTTCTTTCTTTAGACTTTCGTACAAAACATGTACAAATGATTATAAAAGGCGAAAATGAATGTTTTGGCTTCCCGCCTCAAACAATGATTATTGGAGGATTCGAATGATTTGCGGACAATTTGGAAAAAGAATAAAATATAAAGTACAATATAAATACAGTAGAATCCCTGACCATTGGACTAAGAAGGCCTTCCGGATATGAGGAATTGGTTACAAAGTCCGGATATGTGGGGTTATATTTAGATTAAAATAAAAGAACTGAAATCAGGTTTAACATTTATTTTCACTATTTTATAATGGTGAGTGAAATATAACGGAACAGATTTTAAGGAAAAAGAAATAAATTATGTAATGTTAATGAATATTCATTAGATTAAATATGTAATTTAAATATATCACGTATGCTGAAGAAATAATGTAAAAAGAATTTGTAAATCGCTGTCGCATGATAATTCTTACTCTTCTAATGTCATTCTTAACTTTTTACGCATTTTGTTTTGCTTTTGTACTTGAAATTTTTTAAACGACAGACACTTTTTAACTCAGCGTGAGTTATTGCAAACGTCTTAGCTGAATGCTGGCCTTCTTCCCATAAAACTGACAACATTTTCAATAGTTTTCTTTTTCAATTTCGGTCCAGGTTTCATGACAATCATGTTTTGTTTTATTTTAATTTACATTGTGACAGTGTGAACTCTGGAGAATATTTTCTTTAGAAGATTTTATATCATAAAATGCTGACTTTTCTATGTTGAACTCCGCCATTTGTCACAATGAACTTTCACCAGCATTTAGTCTGTTTATATTCTCCACTTTTTGCGATAAATCCAAAGTTGTTCTTTTCCACGTATTCCCATCATATTTTGCACCAATAAAAGCCATTAGTGTGAAGTAAGCATGAGCAATTATCCAAAGTAAATTTCCTGAAAAACATTAAGATCCGAGTAATTCGACCTGACTAACCAGACGATTCCTAAAGCTAAATGGTATAGTACGTTAGGCTATATAACGGTTCCGTGTAGAATACAGGTTCGATTCCTGTTGGAGGACGCATCATTTTTTATGAAAAAATGGACATTCAGACATATAAATTTTTTGAAAAATAGTTGTTTATTATAAACAGAACATTTATTTAAATATTCGAATTTTTAAAAATAACGTATAAACAATAAATATATTAAAATAATTGTCGGAATAGTCCATTTACACACACACACAAATATATATATATTAGATAGTAAGAATAAAGCTAAATCTCAAAATATGCTAAAAGCTTTTTAAATTACAGCGAGTGCTCAATGTCAAAATTTTTTTAATTTATATTATAATAATATTATATAATACAATAATGGAGAAAAATCTGTTTGAAAGTTTAGTGTGGTTTTGAAATGATTATTATGGGTCATGATACTCTGAATAGTCAATGACAATTTACGATATTTTGTATCAGTTAATGCAGGTTATAACACAGACACAAACACACTACTTCACACACACTATATTAGCATATATATATATATATATATATATATATATATATATATATATATATATTAGTAAGCAAATGTAAATATTATGGGAAATGGTTTCAGAAAAAGAAAAATTTGAAAAAAATCCTTAAATTTTTTTATGTTTTTAAAAAAAGAAAAATATCGAAAAGAAAACGTTTAATTTCAAGGTTTTAAAAAAAATATTCATTAAAAATTTTCAGTTTTTGAAAAGACGATGGATATAAAAAACAATTCTCTTAAAAAACAGTTAACTGGATTAAAATTTTTAATATTTTATTTTATTTGTTTTTTATCATTTTCAGTATCATGCATCATGAATCATCAAACAGATTTTAAAACATATTTTTAAAATTTTTTTTATGTTCTAGATTTTAAATTTTAAATTTTAGAAAAAATAGAATTCTATTTTTTCATTGGCTTTTTTCATTCAAAATAATCAAATTTTTTTAAAATACTCTTTATGTTTGAATGCCTATTGTGACAACCAAATGTGTATATATATATATATATATATATATATAATTTGTAAAAATTTTCAGTTATCTGTTTTGGATAAGACTTGTTTTTATATCCATCGTCTTTGTTAAATTGAACTGAATTGTATTTTAATGAATATTGTCTTGAAGAAGGTTTATTAAACCGAAACGTCAGACGTCGACATTTCATTCATTTTAAACAACATAATTGCATTTAAGGATTTTTTGGTTTGTTTTTTCCAAATTTTTTCATTCTGTATATATATTTATATATATATATATATATATATATATATATATATATATATATATATATATACATCATTGCTTGCTGAAAGAAAAATTTTAAATGAAGATTTCATTCATAAATTGGCTTATTATAGTGAAGGAAAGTTTTACAAATAGATACCAACTTATTGAAAGCCAAGTAAAATGCAAATTTCAAACATTTTTCTGCACAATATAAGATTATATACATAAACAGAACTAAATTTGATATGAAAATAAAAATAATCCTCGAATAAAAGAACAGAAATGAAGGACAGTTAATTAATGAAATAAACGTTTTTAAAATCAATATGAAAATTAATTAAACCTGAAGAGTGATATTACCTAGAAATAGGTATTATATAATACAAATATTGAGTATCTACCGTGTAAACTCCTTTTGAGTATATATATCATAATTATATATATTCTCAACTGCGTCTCTGTTATTGAATGGACAGAGTGCGCTCTTTTTTTTCTGTCAAAGGACAGAGGGGCAATTGAGGAAAATTATACTGAAGAGGTGCCCAGCCATGGGGAACAGCTGCCCAAGGCAGTGTTTTCCAAATTGCACAAGAGGGATGGATTGGTGCTCGTACCGTGGCCAGCGCAACCGACGGTTTCTGGGGGCTGATGAAAAATTTTTTCCTGAATTTTCAGATACTTGAAAATATTGAGTCAATATACATTAATCCGACCTTGTGTCACATCTCATTCTCGTGGGGAATGATTAAACACTTGTAAACTGCTTTTTGAGTAGGTACACATCTATTTATCATTCTCTGTTGCGTCTCTGTCTTTTTACAGAGTGCGCTCATTAATTTTTCTGTCAAAGGACAAGGGGCAAATGGAAAATTATACTGAAGAGGTGCCAGCCCTGGGGAACAGCTGCCTGAGGCCGCCCCTCCCATTGCATAAAGAGGGAGGGATCGGTGCTCGTATAAACCGAGGCCATATTAAAAAAAAGTTGCAGGGGCTGAGGGAATTTTTGTTCCTGTCCCGGACGTACGCGTTAAAGGTCCCCATAAATAAAAATAGACCTTAAACACATCTGGTCCTAGTGGGTTTGCAATAATAAATACTGTGTAAACCGCTCACTCGAGTGGTATACACATTCTGATACTTACTGGTCACAGGGATCCTGCGTTGGTAGTATCACAGCTGTGACTGGCTTGGACCATCTTAGACCAGCGGCTCGAGTGAAGACACTCGGATCACTACGTTAAAAACCGACCTTGTGTTACAACCTGACTCAGTGTGTGTGGATCAAGTAAATGCCAACTGCTCTGTCGAGTTCACATTGATACTTACCGTGCGCAGGGATCTGTATGACGTCTGTTTTAACAAATTTTCCGGGAACTCAAGGAATTTTTGTAAATAAGCATGGAATATATATAGTTATGTGTGTGTGTGTAAAAATTTCAGATAAAGTATATTTGTAAAAGAATAATAAGAATAAAAACAAACGGAAAATTTATCTTAGCCGATGGGTTTCGTCCTCTGAGGTATGAGGTCTAGGTACTGACTAAGCTCGAAGTGGCTTAATTTCTGAATTCTTACGGGAACCGGTGTTCCAACGTGATGTGGCCACAAAACAATCGAGGCAAATTACATAGTAATAATGTTATCAAGAGCAAATTAATAAAGTTGTCCCCATTTAGTCGATTAAATACCTAATATTTGTGTATCGCAGTGGAGTTTCTGCGTTCATTTTTTTTCTAATGTTTGTTGGCTGATTGTTTTTGTTCAGCGGCATATCAACACCCCTGTGGGTTATTCAATACCGCAATCTAAATATATTTTAATTAATGGTTTAGTGATACAGTTCTTACTAATTAATCCTTAGCTGGGGGAAGAAGAGGAGAATTCATACGTCTCCGAAATATATTTAAAAAAAATAAGTGAATAGTTTCGAACCAAAGGGAATTGAAAAAAGAAATTGAAAAAATAAAGAAGAAAGAAATTTAAGAAAAAGAACAGAAAGAATTTTATTTTATGAAAAAAAATATAAAAAAAAAAAAGAAAAATGTTAATTTTAGACAGAATAAAGAAATTTAAAAAAAAAAAGAAAGAGAGACATTAAAAAAAGAAAATGAAAAAAAATAATTAAGAAGAAAAGAACAAAATAAACAAAGAAAGAAAAAATAAAAAAAAAAAATAAAAAAGAAGAAGGAACGAACGAGCATAGAATCATTTGAAAATAAAAATGAAGAAAAAAGAAATAAAAATAATAGGATAAAAATTGTTTTAAGAAAAAAAGAGGAGTTAAAAAAAATAAAAAAAGAAATAAAGAAAAAAAAGAAAGAAATACAGAAAGAAAGAAATATAGAAAGCGAATAGACAAAAAGAAAGACAAAGTATCGGCATAAATTAACTAAAAATAAAAAGAAAAAAAAAAAATGGAAATAAAAAAAAGAAGACAGAATAAAAAATTAAACAAAAAGAAAAAATGAAAGATTGAAAATTGAAAGAATGAAAATGAAAAAGAAAGAAAAAATGAAAAAAAAAAAGAATGAAAGAAAGAAAGAAGAAAGAATGAAAGAATGAAAGAAAAGAAAATGAAAGAAAAAAAAAAAAAAGAAAGAAAGAATGAAAGAATGATTTGAAAATGAAAAGAATGAAAATTGAAAATTGAAAGAAAGAAAGAAAGAATGAAAGATTGAAAAAAGAAAAAAAAATGAAAAAAGAAAAAAGAAAGAAAGAAAAGAGAAAGAAAGAAAGAATGAAAGAAAAAAAAAAGAAAGAAAAATGAAAAAAAAAGAATGAAAGAAATGAAAGAATGAAAAAAAAAGAAAAAAAAAAAAAATGAATTTTTTTGAAAAAAAAGAAAAAAAAAAGAAAGAAAGAAAAAAAAAGAATGGAATGAAAAAAAATGAAATTTGAAAAGAAAAGAATTGAAAAAAAAGAAAGAAAAAAAATGAAAGATTGAAAAAAAAAGAAAAAAGAAAAAATTGAAAAATGAAAAAATGAAAAAAAAAAAAAGAATGAAAAGATTGAAAATTGAAAAGAAAGAAAGAAAGTTGAAAGAATGAAAAAAATGAAAAAAAAAAAAAAAGAAAGAAAGAAAATGAAAGAAAGAATGAAAGAATGAAAGAAAGAAGAAAAAAAGAAAGAAAGAAAGATTAAAAAAAAAAGAAAAAAAAAAGAAAAGAAATTGAATGAAAAAAAAAATGAAAGAAATGATCGAAATTGAAAGAAAATTGAAAAAATGAAAAAAGAAAGAAAGAATGAAAAAAATTGAAAAAAGAAAGAAATGAAAGAAAGAAAGAAAAAAAAAAGAAAAAGAAAAGAAAGAAAAAAAAGAAAGAATGAAAGAAAGAAAGAAAGAAAGAAAAATTGAAAAAGAAAGAAAAGAATGAAAATTGAAAAAGAATGAAAGAAAGAAAAATTTGAAAGAAAGAATGAAAAAGAAAAAAAGAAAGAAAGAAATGAAAAGAAAAAAAAATGAAATGAATGAAAGAAAGAAAGAAAAAAGAAAGAAAGAATGAAAAAGAAAGAAAGAAAGAAATGAAAAAAAACAAAAAATGAAAGAAAAAAATTGAAAAAGAAAAAAAAGAAAGAAAGAAAAAAAAGAATGAAAATTGAAAGAATGAAAGAAAGAAAAGAATGAAAGAATGAAAGAAAAAGAAAGAAAAGAAAGAAAAGATTGAAAGAAAAAAAAGAAAGAAAAGAAAGAAAGAATGAAGAAAAAAAGAAAAAAAAAAAAATGAAAAAAAGAATGAAAGAATGAAAAAAGAATGAAAGATTGAAAGAAAGAAAAAAAGAAAAAAAAATGAAAGAAAGATTGAAAGAATGAAAGAAAAGAAAGAATGAAAGAAAGAAAGAAAGAAAGAAGAATGAAAAAAAAAAGAAAGAAAAGGAAAAGAAAGAAAGAAAGAAAGAATGAAATTGAAAAAAAAGAAAAGAAAAAAGAAAGAAAGAAAGAAAAAAAAAATTTGAAAAAAAAAAAAGAAAGAAAAAATGAAAGAATAGAATGAAGAAAGAAAGAAAAAAAAAAAAAAAGAAAAAGAAAGAAAAAAAAAAATGAAAAAAAAAAAGAATGAAAATGAAAGAAAAAGAAGAAAGAATGAAAGAAAGAAAAAAGAAAAAAAGAAAAGAAAAAAAGAAAAAGAAAGAAAATGAAAATGAAAAATGAAAGAAAGAAAAAAGAAAGAAAGGAAAATGAAAAAATGAAAGAAAGAAAGAAAGAATGAAAAGAAAGAAAAGAATGAAAGAAGAAATTAAAGAAAGAAAAGAATGAAAGAATGAAAGAAAAAAAGAAAGAATGAAAGATCGAAAAAAATGAAAGATTGAAAGAAAGAAAAAAAAGAATGAAAGAAAGAAAAGAAAAAAATGAAAGAAAGATGAAAAAAAAAGAAAAAAGAAAGAAAGAAAGAAAAGAAAAAGAAATGAAAAGAAAAAAAAAGAATGAAAGAAAGAAATGAAAGAATGAAAAAAAATGAATGAAAAAAAAAAGAAAGAAAGAAAGAATGAAAGAAAAAGTGAAAGAAAAAAAAAAAATTGAAAAAAAGAAAGAAAGAAGAAAAAAAAAAAAGAAAAGAAGAAATTAAAAAAAAGAAAGAATGAAAGAAAGATTGAAAAAAGAATGAAAGAAAGAAAAGAAAAAAGAAAGAAAAAATTGAATGAAAAATAAAGAGAAAGAAGAGAAAAAAAGAATGAAAGAAAGAAAGAAAAAAAAAAAAATGAAAAATGAAAGATTGAAAAAGAAAAAAAGAAAATTAAAAGAAAGAAAGAAAGAAAGAAAGAAAGAAAAAGAAAGAAAGAAAAATGAAAAGAAAGAAAAAAAAAAAGAAAGAAAGAAAAAGAATGAAAAGAAAGAAAAAAATGAAAGAATGAAAGATTGAAAAAAAGAAAGAAAGAATGAAAGAAAAGAAAAAGAAAGAAAGAAAGAAAGAAAAAAAAAAGAAAGAATGAAAGAAAAAAAAAAAGAAAGAAAGAAAGAAAGAAAGAAAAAAAAGAAAAAAGAAAGAAAGAAAAAATGAAAAAAAGAAAAAAAAGAAGAAAAAAAAATTTTTGAAAGAAAGAAAAAAGAAATGAAAAAATGGAAGAATGAATGAAAAAAAAAAAAAAAAAAGAAAGAAAAAATGAAAGAAAGAAAAAGAAAGAATGAAAGAAAGAAAGAATGAATGAATTGAAAGAATGAAAAAAAAAGAAAGAAAGAAAGAAAGAAAGAAAAAAAAAAGAATGAAAAAGAAAGAAAAAAAAGAAAGAAGAAAAAAAAGAAAGAATGAAAGATTGAAAGATTGAAAGAAAGAATGAAAGATAGAAAGAAAGAATGAAAGTTTGAATGAAAGAATGAAAGAAAGAAAGAATGAAAGAATGAAGTGATGAAAAAAGAAAGACTGGAGATAGATCAATTGAAACAAGAAGGAATGCAATAACATACAAACAAGTAAAAGTTAACAGAAAAGAAGAATATTTTGGAAAAAATAAGAAAAAAAAAAGAAATAAAAATTTTTTTTTTTTTTCTTATCAAAAAAACATTTCTTAAAGCAAGAATATATATTTAGAAAAGAAGAAATTTTAGACATAAAATAAAAATTGATACAAGTTCTACTATTAAACCCATAAAGCTGGTGGAAAAAAATTCAACTTTCCGAAAAAAGAAAAGTGAAAAAAAAAGAAAAGAAACGGAAAAGGAACTGATAGAAATGATTTCCCATTCCGAAGCCGATATCTTTACACCATGAAACAATGCAAAAGAGCACCTGTTATTCTCAAGCGGTCACCCAGGTATCAATATTAAATCTGGCTCGACATTGCTAAACTTCATTAAAAATAACAAACCGAAATGAAAAAACCGTAAGCCTGATCTGTAGAAAAGAAAAAAGGATCCAGTCGCTTGCAAATCATAAAAGAAAAAAATATATTTTGTTTATATATTTAAATAATTAAAAAAGAAAACCTTTGAAAAAAGGAATGAGCGAAATACAAATTTTTAAACAATTGTTAATTAAGGAAGCCATTTTAATTTTTAGCCTCGTTTTGAGTTGATTTTTTTCTGTAAATGTCATTAACTCGTCTTAGTTATGTCTTCCGTAAAAAAAAACAATTTTTTCCCAACTTAGCGATTTCGATGTTTTGAAAAATTCTTGTTGGTATCTATACAATTTTAATAAATATTTTATCCCCATCAATTTTTATTTAACAGTTATCAACATTCTTTGAAATGACTCCAGAACTTACATTGTCGCCATCTTGAATTTATCTTTTATTTTTATTAATCTCTTCTTTTTTTTCGTTTTTAAGCATTTCACCCCAAGCAAGGCGGGAAGCCACTAGAACGCAAGTGGTTACAGAAAATTTAGAGCAAGATCAGATAGGAGTGATAGAAGAAAGGATGAGGGTAGTGGATAGATCAAGGCAACTGGAGATGTCGATTGACATTACACTTGAATAGCTGGAGATTATAGCTCACAGGGAAACAGAAATAGGGAAGGGAGTTCCACAGGCGAGAGATGCGAGACATGAAGCTATTAGAGTAGAAGAGACGGCTACATTTAGGAGTTTCGACAGTGAAGGGGTGAGAGGGATGCCAGCCTCGTAGGGCGCTGGAACTCATGACGTCTGAGAACCAGCGAATGCAGCTCCTCGGAGCAATTTCCATGAAAGTATTTGTAGAACAGACAGAGGGAGGCGACGGCGCGTCTGTGAGAAAGTGACTGTAGACGAGACGCCAGGGCAGGGCCAACTACATTGCATATCCGCCTCTGGAGCCTATCAGAACTCCGAGGCAAACAGACGGGGCACAGGGACCATATATGGCAGCAATACTCCATGCAAGGGCGAACTGCCTCTAATAAACACAAATATACACTTTCGTAGCGTAATGCAGACATAATCTCGGGTTTACAAATTCGCCCACACAAAAGAAGGGAAAGTCTTTCAACACCCAGATACAAATAAAAGAAATTTCAGCTTGACAAATTCATTGTTTCATACCTCTGTTCATTGTTTTGTTATTACATCGCACTTATTTCATCAACATTTTAAAATATAAGCAAATATGTTATATTTAACAATTTTTCTCTTTGGAATCTATCTTAAATATCTATTACTCTATAATTCGTTCATGTATTAAAATATTTCTGCGACATATGGTCCGGAGCTTCCTGCTATATATTGAGAGATTCTTGATAAAATATCCAAAAGAATCAGCAATATTATAGGTCTTGAACTGACATCTTGGCTTCAGTCCCTTTCCCATCTTTGTAACGTTGCTTTCCTGTTTATTTTTACAAATACATGCATGCTAATATTTCGGATGAGCTTGTAGCGATAAAAAAAAACACAGTTTATACTTAGAGATAACAAATTAAATCCAAATTTACACAATTATTAGAAAACATATATCTCTAACTACAAACCAATTTTCAGAGTCTGTCAAAAATCTGAATTTGTTCCTCAAGGACACAAAATGGAAAAAGCAAATTTTGGTTAGATCGGGCTTGACAGAATATAAAAGAAGAATGAGTTCAATTCCTTTTTAATTTTTTTTGGAAACTTTAAAAATTAAAGGAAATCAATTGAAAAATATGTTTTTCCATCAAATTTTAATTTAGTGGAACTAGAACAGTAAATTAAATCGAAATAAAGTTCCTTAAAGAAAAAATTTTCTGAATGTTTTAAAGAGACGTACAACGGTCGACAACGACTGACAAATATGGCGACAAAAATGAGGACAATAGTCCGAGAAACGTAAATGAATTTTCAATTTTTGGAAAAAGTAAATGAACGGCAGACTTAAAAAATCATTTTTTAAAAGAAATACAAATATATATAACATGACCATTAGTCATGAATATGGGTAAAAAAAGATGAAAATTTTTCCGCGTTTTTTCATATAGGCTATAAGAACCCGGAATTAGCTTTTAATAAAGTGGGAGAGACATTTTTTTTGCGCAGAGACAAATGACTGCCGTCCGTATTGGCTTTTAAACGACTTCACGTAAACACCGAAAATGAACAAACGCTATCCAAAACAATTCAAAAATAACAACCAAAAAAGCTTTAAGCATATTGGAAAAATTTTCTCTTTAAATCTAAAAACCGCAGTTTCAAGCCGCGAAGTTATTTTTTTTTTTATATTTTGATTTTTTTGTATAAAATAAAGCTTGCTCATTTATCTTAAACAACGTCCATATTTTTTATCTCAAACCTTTTTAATTAATTTTATTCATTGGTCGATTTTGACTTGAGGAAAAAATTAAACATATTTCTTTTTTCGGATATTTTTTTACAGTTGAATTTTTTAAATGTAACCGCCCTTCTTTTTTTATATTTATTCATTTTTTAAAAAAAATTTTTTCGCACTTTTTCTTTTAATCATTTTTTTTTTAAATATGAATTTAAAATTTTAAATCAAAATGTCATAAATGAACAAATCATTTGCCTGAATTTCTTCTTTTTTTTGATCTTTAATAATGTTTTCTTTTTTAAATTTAAATTTAATGTCAATCGTTATCTACTGGCTTCCTGATTTCTCTTCTATTGACAATGATCTTTAATAATGTTTCTCTTTTAAATTTAAATGTAATGTCAATCGTTATCTACTGTCTTCTTGCTTACTCTTCTTTTATTGTTCTTGCTCTTTAGTAATGTTTCCGTTTTCTAATTCTCTCAACATCTATTTTTCATCTTGTGTGAAATTTAGTGGCTTCACTCCCTTTTTTTTTAAATTCGATCAAGAAAGAAGTGTTCTTCATTTTCGTTTCCACAAAATTATCATCTACGAATTCATATATGCTTAAAACCTGTAATATGTTAAATATTTTAAGATTGTTACAAAATAACACGAGTGATTTCTTCGCAAGATGTATACGGTACAGAAGACAACACAAAACATTTAATAGATATTCGTATATGAATAAGGCCGACCAGTTTTTTCTCGTTCAATGTTAAGGTGTTCTTGCATAGAAATCGGCGCCATCTACCTGGACAAACCTTATGTTAGTAGGTGTTTATTCCATCCTTTTTTTTCAACTAATGCTTTCATTCTTATCTCTTTATTTTTTTTTTTTTGTCAATGATGAACAGACAGGTAACTTAAAGAAGAAATATACGTTTAGTCTTTATTTACTGCCAAGTATATTTTTTTATCGTTTTTTAACTGCCATAACAGTTTATTCGACATTTTCATACGAACATCACGTTCTTTTTTTCTTAAATTTCTTTTCTTTTTTTTTTTCCTTTTTCTTTTTTTCGTTATTTCCTTTCGTTTTGTTTTGTTTATATCCATTATTGATTCTATTTTTTTTTCTTTTTTTTTCTTTTCTTTCCCTTCCTTTCTTTTCATCGTTATCACAACTTTTTTTTTTTTCTTTCTTTCATTTGCCGAATTTTTCTTTTCTTTTCTATTCTGATTATATTCTTACTTTTCTTCACCGACACTTACCATTAATTTGGTTCATTCCATTTTTCTTTTTTTTTCCTTCCTTCCTTCCTTCCTTTCTTTCCTTCCTTCCTTCCTTCCTTCCTTCCTTTTCCTTCCTTCTTTTTCCTTTTTTCCTTCTTCTTCCCTTTTTTTTTCCTTCATTCCTTCTTTCCTTCTTCTTTCCTTCCTTCATTCTTTTCTTCCTCCTTCCTTCCTTCTTTGAACTTCCTTCCTTCCTTTTTTTTTCTTTTCCTTTTCCTTCTTTCTTCCTTTAAAAGGACTTTCTTCCTTCCTTCCTTCCTTCTTTCTTCTTCCTTCCTTCTTCTTTCTTCCTTTTTTCCTTATCCTTCCTTCCTTCCTTCCTTCCTTCCTTCCTTCCTTTTTTCTTTCTTCCTTCTTTCTTTTTTTTCTTTCCTTCTTTCCTTCCTTCCTTCCTTCCTCCCTTCCTTCTTCTTCCTTCCTTCCTTCCTTCCTTCTTTCTTTCTTCCTTCCTTCCTTCTTTTCTTTCTTTTCTTTCTTCCTTCCTTTGGATTCCTTCCTTCCTTCCTTCCCTTCTTTCTTTCTTCCTTTTTTTCCTTCCTCCTTCCTTCCTTCCTTCCTTCCTTCTTTCCTTTTCTTCTTCCTCCTTTTTCCTTTCTTTTTTTCTTCCTTTTCCTTCCTTCCTTTTCTTTTTTTTCCTTCTTCCTTCTTTTCTTCCTTCCTTCCTTCCTTCCTTCCTTCCTTCCTTCCTTTTTTCCTTCCTTCCTTCTTCAGATTTTCCTTTCTTCTTCTTTCTTTCTTCCTTCTTCCTTCCTTCCTTCCTTCCTTCCTTCCTTCTTTCCTTCCTTCCTTCCTCTTTTTTCTTTTTTTCCCCCTTCTTTACACCTTCATTCCTTCCTTCCTTCCTTGCATTTTTCTTTCTTCCTTCCGATTCTTTCCTTCCTTCTTCCTTCCCTTCCTTATTTCCTTCCTTCCAACTCCCTTCTTTCTTACATTTTTTTTCCTTCCTTCCTTGCTTCATTTTTTCCTTTCTTTTTTTTCTTCCTTCCTTCCTTCCTTCCTTCCTTCCTTCTTCCTTCCTTCTTCTTTTTTTTCCATTTTTCTTTTTTCCTTTTTCCTTCCTTTTTTTTCCTTCCTTCCTTTCCTTCCTTCCTTCCTTCCTTCCTTTCCTTACTTAATGATAAAACCTTAATTTCCCTTTATTCCTATATTCTATATTTTCCTTCTTTCCATTTAATTCTTTCTTCCTTCCATTTTCCTTCCTGAATTTTTCCCTTCCTTCCTTCAAAGCTTCCTTTCCTTCCTTCTTTACACCTTCCTTCCTTCCTTCGTTCCTTCCTTCCTTCCTTCCTTCCTTCTAATTTATTTTCTTCCTTCCTTCCTTTCCTTCCTTCCTTCCTTCCTTCCTTCCTTCCTTCCTTTTTCCTTCCAGGACCAATTTTCAAATCCTTCTTTACACCTTCCTTCCTTCCTTCCTTCCTTCCTTCCTTCCACTAGTTTTGTATTCTCAGTTATCTTGATTTCGTTGTTTTCCCACTATCTTTCATTCATTCATTCATTCATTCATTTCTTTCTTTCTTTCTTTCTTTCTTTCTTTCTTTCTTTACGACCGTATCAGGTTGGAACGCTTTCTTTCAATACGAACACCGGAATTAAGAAACGTCGAGCTTTGGTCAGTATCGAGATGAGTGATATTTTTGGTAATACCATGTGTTGTAAGCTTGGATGTGCGGGTGGTGTAATGGATAACGGGATCTGGAAACCAGAAAATCGTGTTCCAATTCCAGGCGAATTCTTTATATTCACTTATGCGCAAATACACTTGGGAAAGGTATGAATCCACTTTTTTTTATGGGTTAAATAGTAGCCTTTGTATTTCAAAAATCATTATTATCTTTTTTTCTTAAGCTCCAAAACTATTTTCTATCTTTAAATAACTTTCAAGATATTAATATCGTACAAACAATTTTTTCCTTCTTTCTTATTAACATTCATTCTTTCCTGTATTCTCTTTTCTGTATTAACTTTTTCTTATTTATCGGTTTGTTATTTTCTTCTTTCTTGATTTAATTAATCTATTTGCAGGCTTTCTTTTTTTTTACATCATTTCTTCTTTCTTTTTTATTAACTTTTTTTATCCACTCTCCTCTATAAACTTTTTCTTGTTTTTACTTTCCATCTTTTATATTGTAGTTAATCTATACCTTTTCTTTCTTTCTTTCTTTCTTTCTTTCTTTCTTTCTTTCTTTTTCTTTTTCTTCTTTTTATTTCGTTTTTTTCTTTCTTTTTTTTCTTTTTTTTTTTTTCTTTTTCTTCTATTTCTCTTTCTTTCTTTCTTTCTTTCTTTCTTTCTTTCTTTCTTTCTTTCTTTTCTAGCTGCCTCTATTAACTTTTTCTTGCCTATTCTTTTCTTTTTTTCCGTTTATATTTCATTTATTCTATGCCTGTACTTTCTTTTTTGCCTCTTCTATGAACTTTCTTTCTTTCTTTGTTTGTCTCTTTCTTTCTTTCTTTCTTTATTTTCTATTAAGTTACTCTCTTACTTTCCTTCTGGCTTTCTTTTCTATTAAGTTACTTTCCTTGTTTGTTTGTTTGTTTCTTTCTTTCTTATTAACGTTATTTTTTATCTTTACTCTGTTAACTTTTACTTGCCTGTTCTTTTCTTTCTTTTTTTATATTTAATTTATTCTATCCCAGTTCTTTCTTTCTTTCTTTCTTTCTTTCTTTTCCATTTGACTGATACCCCCTCTTTAATTATTCATTTATTCCTTCTCTTTTCCTTGTTCCGCTTTCTTTATTTCAGTTTATTGTCTTTTTTTTCTGTTTATCATTCATTTCATTCATTTTTTTCGTTCAGCTCTCCCTGTTTCTAAAAAAGACATTTCAGAATAATGCTTCACGCTTCTTTTTCCCATTTTATTCCTCGAGAGACATGAAGACTCTTTCTCCACTCGGCCATTCACTCGTATGTCCTTCACGATGATGACAACCGCTTTTACAGTTGTTATGCTGACAGGCGAGCCATTTTATTCTTTGGAAATGACGGAATATCTTGACGCTTTTACGGTTAGACAAGCAAGACGGAACCAACAGAGCAAAGTTTATTGCTTCACCATTCCATTTATGGAGCAAAAAGCAAAACAACATGGTACACATTACAAAAATATTAACAGCCTTAGCAAACGAGAATAACAAAAAAAAAGAAAAAAAAAACTGCGCAAGACATGAGAAATCTTTCTTTGAGATGTCAGCCTTGTCATAAAGTTATCTTTATAGTTGTTGTTTGTGTCAGTCTTCAGTTCTTTATTTCGTTTCTTTGCTCTTGAAAAAAAAAAAAAAAAGAAGGATAGCCGATTGGGAAAATTTGCGGAAGTGTCCACTAACGTCAAACGTTGCCTGATTTCTAAAATTCAAGACAAATATTTTAACAATTATTTATTTTTGAATAATACTTGTTTCCGCTAAATCTAGTTACTTTTTCAACAAAAAAAGTATGCTTATGTTTTATAGGTTACAAGAAACATTTGATAAGGTATGACAGAAAGGCCTACTTAAACCGCCACTAAGAAAACTTGATTGATTCAGGAGAAACAGATTAATCCATAACATATAATGGAAGGCAACAGTCAGCATACGTGTAAAAGATGAGTTGTGAAACTATACACACAAAAAGTGATATAAAGAAAGGATACGTCTTCAAAATTGATCAATTCAACCTCTACAGCAGGTTGCTTCTAAGAGAACGAGAACTCACACGAGCTTTTATTACTAGTGGACACAATCTTAACAACACAATGTACGATGTTGACACAGTATTAATATCAGACACTAGAAAGTGAAGGAAAACCTAAAACAAAAATGGAATAAGAAATGCGTATTGATATCTCATTAATCTAACGTATACAGGTGGGAAATTTTAAGAGAACAGGATCCCCTAAGATGATTTAATATTAGTCGACAAATTCTTAAGAACATGACATACGAATCTGACACGATGTTAATGGCAGATACGAAAAACTTAGGAAAAATTTTTGTTGCATCTCTTTTAAACTCCTGGTGTGGGTGATCTCATTTCGTCTTCTCTCGGCAGGCGATCATTAATTGTTTTGGTTCAGCAATGAAAAATTTTAAACACGGAGAATTTTAACTGAACTATTTTTATTACTCATCATCTAACAAGCCAGTGTGAGTCGTCCCCTTAATGGGGAGTCGTTTTGGACACGAAAGAGAACATGTCTATAGTGCGTGCCAAATTATTATCGAGATAACTTTTTTCTAATATTTCAAAAACCGTCCAATCAATTCATACAAAATTTTCACACAATGTTGGCAACACTGACTTGCGCAATCACTGAATTTTTTTCTGCGCAATGTAAAAAATTGGCACCATATTTGTTATCAGCACTGTGATTTGAGCGTGCCAAATTATTAGAAATGTGTAAGAATTTAGTGAAAAGATGGGCCATAAAAGCAGTTTAAGTGATGCCGAAAAGAAAACTATCACCTCAGAACTCTCAAAAGGTAAATCTACCCTAGAAATGTCTAAAATGATAGGAAGGTGTCATCAAACAGTGAAAAAGTTCACCGCCGACCCTACACAAATACGCAAAAGGGCAGATAAAGGTAAGCCGAGTGTTATTTCACGTCGTCTCATGTCATGACTTAAACGAGAGGCCACGAAGAACCCTGGACTTACCAGTCAAGAGCTTTTCAGTCGCAATGGGGATCCTACTGTGTTTAAAAGTACTCGGTGTCAGTATCTGAGGGAAATAGCAACAAGAGTCAAACTTGTATCGAAGCCTCCGTTGACGAGAAAAAGATGAAGAACAAGATTGACTTATCTAAAGTTTTGTTCACAGACGAAACTCGAGCAACACTTGATGGGCCAGATAGATGGTGCAAAGGCTGGGTAATGAACGGACAGAATCGCCATCAGCATTTGAGACACCAACAAGGCAGTGGAGGCATAATGATCTGGGGTGGTATTATTGGAAAAACATTAGTGGGCCCATGGAGAGTACAAGATGGCGTCAAAATGACTGCTGATGCATACATAGCGTTTATGAAGGAGCATCTTGAACCGTGGATGAAAAGGCAAAGAGTTGCCTTCAGAAGGGCCATTGTTTTTATGTAAGATAATGCTCCCTCACATGCCGCTCACAAGACTACTGAATATTTGAAACAGTTAGGCTTTGATGGACTTCGAAAAATGAAGTGGCCAGCAAATTCTCCGGATTTGAACCCAATTGAAAACCTTTGGAGCATCATGAAGTGAAGACTGTACGTCAACGGACGACAATTCAGGCGCAACGCTGAGTTGTGGGAAGCAATTCTTGACATATCTCGCGGCATTACAGCAGATGACATCCTATAATTAACAAATTTTATGGATCGTCGACTTCAAGTAATTTCAAAACAGGGAAAACACATTCCCTATCAATTTTTAAAACTGTGCCTTTGTTTGTATCTGTACTTATTTGTTTGATTATCTTATTTATTAGCTTCTTTTGATCTAAACATTCACGTACAACATTAATAAGCGTTTTGTTTGCTCAATTCTGGGAATTTTACTAAACCTTTCTAATAATTTGGCACGCTCAAATCACCGTGCTGATAACAAATATGGCGCCAGTTTGTTTACATTGTGAAGATCAGTACAAAAATTTCAGTGATTGCGCAGGTCATTTTTGCCAACATTGTGTGAAAATTTTGTGTGAATTGACTGGACACTTTTTGAAATATTAGAAAAAAAGTTATCTCGATAATAATTTGGCACGCAGTGTACATCGCTTAACGGGTAAGAAGCAGCTCACCGAAACCTTTCTCCTATCTATCATTCCCACGCTAGTTCATCCAATCAAAATTGACTTCCCTATTATGGCTCACATCTGACCCCGAATATCAACTCCCGCAAGTCGGACGACGAGATACACTCCCCTAAAATAATAGTCTGTTAAACTATTATTTAACACAATGTTAACAACACAAGATAGGAAGTTAAAATCGAGTTAATACCAGACAAGGAATCCTAGAAATGGAGTAAAAATATGTATTTATATCTTATTAATTTAACTTATACTGCGGGGTGATTTTAAGAGAACGAGAACATACGGGGATTTATTACTAGTGGACATAATCTTAAGATGACATACGAAGCTGACAACATGATAATAGCAGATACAATAAACTCCAAAGAATCCGAGAAAAGGTGGTAAAAATATGTATGCTATCTAATTAATTTAACTTATACAGCGGGGTTATTTTAAGAGAACGAGACCTCCTAAGAGGATTTATTTTTAGTGGATAAAATATTAGCAACATAAGACAAGATCGAAATTAACTCTATGTTAATGGCAGACACAGGAAACTGCCAGAAAAGCGAGAAAAATGTTTAGCTGTCAATTGTAAGAGGACAGTATATGGTTTTTATCAAAAGAGGCAACCCAAGATGTGAATTTCAAATCTGAGACGTCAAAATGAAGCAAGTACAAAAATTTAACAATTTTGGAAATGCTATATCAGGCGTTGGTAAATGTAACACCAAAGTCCGAAGACACATTGGAAAAGCGTCAAAAGCAAACCTGCCTAAACAATAAACAAACTTGTCTGCAGTCGCTTTCTTACAGACGTGCCGTCGCCTCCCTCTGTCTTTTTTACAAATACTTTCATGATAACTGCTCCGATAAGCTGATTTCGCTGGTTTCCAGACTTCATGAATGTAAGTGCTCTACTAGGCTGGCATCTCCATCTCACCCTTTTACTGTTGAAACTGTTAAATATAGTCGTCTCTTCTACTCCAATAGCTTCATGTATCACACTTCTCGCCTGTGGAACTACCTCCCCTTTTCCTGTTTCCCTGGTAGCTATAATCTCCAACTATTGAAATGTAATGTTAATCGACGTCTCCAGATGCCTAGACCTATTCCCTAACCGTCTCTTCATCCTTTCCTCTATCACTCCTATTTGCTCTAGCTCCAACTCTCTGTAACCCCTTGCATGCTAGTGGCTTCCCGCATTGCTTGGGGTAAAACGCTTAAAAAAAATTATGAAATATAACAATTTATTTAGAAATACAGAATGAATTGGTATGTAATATCAGTCTTCCTATCCGACAGTCTGGACAATCTCCCCACAGATAACAAGAAGAGTTGAAGTAGAAGAAAAGGTGTTCTACAGTAGGATGCGGTGAATAACATGGACGGAACATGTGAACAACAAGGATGTTTTGTTGTATAACCCCTTGGTGGGGATGTCTTGGGCGACAATAATAAAGTAGCAGTCTTCTCTATTAGCCGGTGACCGATAGTTGATTTGGTTCGGTGATAAAAGACATTAACAAAGATAATTTGAACTTAACTATTTATTAATCACTAGCCAGTGGTGTCGTCCTCTCTCTCCCCTCAGGAGCAGATCCAGACATGAAGTCAACACTTCTACATTGTTCGTCAGTTAAGACTTAATTCCCTGAAAATCTTTTTCTGTCTATCGTTCGCATGCTGGCTCATCCGATCAAAATTGACTTCCTTTGTTGTGTCTTGTATATGACCTGAAAGGTCAACCTCAGAAAGTGAGAACCGCGATACACGTCTCTAAAAAAATAATCTGCTGAACTGTTATTTAACGTTCCTTACTTAATCATTTAAAAAAGATAATTTATGAACTTTATTTCAACTAGATTACTAAGATTTTCTCTCTACACTTTCTTGTGTGCAAGGCGTGGTCTTTGCATTTTTTTTCTTCATTGGGCCTCGGTCACATGACCCCCCTCCTTTTTTCAAGCTTTACAAACCCTTTGTTTAAACAAAAAAAACAGAATTCCGGACAATCCTTTGTTCATTCTTGGTCACTAACTTCCGTGAACCATGTTGAACGC